TTGTGTCAGGATATTCTCTTATCAGCTAGGTGTTCTCCTTTGCTTTGTAAAGTGGGGATCTTTATACCCCATGGGCTCTTCTGCCTTGGCCAGGCATTGCTCCTTGACCCTGTCAGCCCAGTATCCAAAAGCCTAGACAAAGATGGCCTTTATGCAATGTCCCCATGGGTTGAGCTCCCCAGCCACAGTTCTGCTTTCCATTAGCCATTCACGTGTCTCAGGAACTCTCCAGATCTGCTTTCATGCTCTCCCAACCCTTCGCCTACATGTATTCTGACTGTACTTGACTGATCTGACAGCTTACAATCAAGTTTTAACTAAGTCAAGTTTTCAAAGACTATACTGGTGGAGAGCAGACTCTGACAGATCCCACCAAGTCAGAGGGACTTTGGATACCCAGTCCTTGTCTTTGAGGAGCTTAAAATCACACAAAGAGTCGGAATATTAAAGCTTCAAGTGATCTCAGAGATCATCTTGTGTACAGCAAGAAAACAGGTCCCAAAAGGTTTTGACTTGTCTAATGTCACATCGTTACAGAACTTGAATTCAGATCTTCTAACTCAAAATTCAGAGCTCCTTGTTCTACTCCAGGCTTCCTCTCTCTCCTCTCTTCCTCTCCCCCTCCTCCAATCTCAGAACCATGGTAGCAATCAAATATTATAAGAGTGTGTGTAATCATGGGAAAAATGGAATGGCTCTGAGCTCTCTCTCTCTCTCTCTTTCTCTCTTTCTCTCTTTCTCTTTTTCTCTCTTTCTCTCTTTCTCTCTTTCTCTCTCACTTTGTCTCTTTCTCTCTCGCTCTTTCTCTCTCTCTTTCTTTCTCTCTTTTGCTCTCTTTCTCTTTTTCTCTTTCTCTCTCTCTCTGTCTCTCTCTCTCTCTTTCACACACACACACACGCACACACTTTACAACATTAGGCCTGTGCCCTCTGTATTCTAGGAAATGTATGAAGCTTTTGATCAAGAGGCTACTCAGAGCAATAAGGCCCAACTCCTGATTTCTGCTGCTGTGTCTGCTGGCAAAGGCACCATTGAGACAGCCTACCACATCCCCCAGATGTCCAAGTAAGTGTCTCCCAATCCCATGGGAGTGCTCATGTCAGGGTTCAACTGAGTCGCAGAAGGAGTAGAGCTGCTCACCTAGGCCCCACCAAGGGGAAAGCAAGCCAGAGCCTTGGGAGACTGCCAACCTGGAAGGGACTTCCTTCCAGCAAGCCAATTTGAGAATTAAGACTTTGATATTATCTCTAGAGATATTTGCAAGATTATCTGGAACAAAACAGGCTGTCCCATAGCACCTACTATCCCCAATTCCCCTTATGTCCTGAGCATAGAAATTATTTACTTACTTTCCTGCTTTGAAAAGTAATCTGCAAAACTCAAACCCTCTATGGAATTATGGGAGACATCAAGCTCTTACTGCCTATAATCTTCACAGTACTCTCTGGTGGCAGATGGATTCCATACAAAAGAAAAAAAGACAAGTTCCTCCCCTTGAGGTCTTTATGTTTTTTCTTTATTTTAAATAAAATTTTATTGATCTCTTTTTTTTTCTAACATCAGTAAATTTCCTATATTATGTTTCCTCCTCCCCACTCCCAGGAAGCTATCTCATATGTGTTCAATTGTTATCAGTCACCACTCTTTGTGACCCCATTTGGAGTTTTCTTGACAAAGTTACTGGACTGGTTTGCCATTTCTTTCTTCAGCTCCTTTGACAGTTGAGAAAGCTGAGGCAAACATCATTAAGTGACTTGCCCAGGGTCACTCAACTAGTAAGTATCTGTGGCTGAATTTTAACTCAGATCCTCCAGACTCTAGGGCTGGCACTCTCTCCACTGCACCATCTAGCAGCCCTATTTCATATAACAAGTACTATTTTTAAAGGGGAGAGAGAGAGAAATCAGCAAAACTGATCCATCTATGAAAAAGTTTGAAAATACATGCAATGTACCATGCCTCTGGACCCCCTCTGCAAAGAGGTGGAGTAGGAATAGCTTTTCCCAAAATTATGTGTACGTATATAGATATAGATAGATAGAGGGCACAGGGTGATTTGAAAATGAATAGGTCATATCTGGAAAATAAAATTAAGGGGTGGGAGAGGAATATACTAAGAGAAGGAGGAAGGGAGAGATAGAACGGGGTAAATTATCCCACAAAAAAAAAACAGGAAAGAAAAGGTTCTTACAGTGGAAGGGAAATGGGGGAAGGTGAGAGGGAATGAGTGAATCTTATTCTCATAGGATTTGACTTAAGGAGGGAATAACATACACACTCAATTGGGTGTGTAAATCTGTCTTAGCCTACAGGAAAATAGGAGGGGAAGGGGACAAGAGAGTAGGGGGATGACAGAGAGGAGGACAGATTGGGAAAGGGAGTAATCAGAAGCAAATACTTCTGAGGAGGGACAGGGTCAAAAGAAAGAATAGAATAAATGGGGAGGGGCTGGATAGGATTAAGGGAAATAAGAGTTAATTTTTCACAGCATGTCTACTATGGAAGTGTTTTGCATAACTGCACATATATAACCTATATTTAGTTGCTTGCCTTATCAATGAGGGTGGGTGGGGAGGGAGGAAGGGAGAAAATCTGGAACCCAAACTTTTAAAAACATGTGTTTAAAAAAAATGTTTTCACATGCAACTGGGAAATAAGAAATACAGGAAATGGGGTACAGAAATCCATCCTGCCCTACAGGAAAATTGAAAGGGAAGGGGATAAGAGAAGGGGGGGAGAGATAGAAGGGAAGGCAGACTAGAGGAAGAGGTATTTAGAATGCATGCCATCTTGGGGTGGGGGGAGGGCGAGATGGGGTGAAAATTTGGAATTCAAAATCTTGTGGAATTTCATTTTAAAAAAAAGAAAAAAAAAAGAAACAGAAAAAAAAAAGAGAGAAATACCCTGTATGAGACCTTTATCAGGGAAACTTGATGTAAAGGTTTTTCTATTACTTGTTTCCCTTCTAATTTTAGCTACACTAGTTTTGCTTGTGCAAAAACTTTTTATTTTTATAAAAGCAAAATTGTCTGTTCATAGTCTCTTTCCTAAAATATTAAATGTGAAACTGTGTATCAACAATATTTATTACATTTGAGAATCTATCAGTAAAAAAAAGAAAAAAAAGAATAGCTTTTCCCATCTCTTCTTCAGAGCTAAGCTCCAAAGCTCTTCACCATTTTGCAACATTCAGGCTCATGGGCTTCACTCCACTCCCTCCGTGGATTGTACTCCCCTCCCCTTAAAGTCTGTACTTCCTAGGCCTGATCTTGCTTGGGTCACTTCTCTCCTTTCTTCCTCCCCCTAAGGTACCTGGATCTCATCAACGTGATGACTTATGACCTGACGGGCTCCTGGGAGGGCTTTACTGGAGAGGACAGTCCTCTGTTTGCTAGACCCAATGACCATGGTGACTACATCTACTTTAATGTGGTAAGGAAAGCTCCATCATGAAGGCTCAGACATGAGAGCTGTGGTGAGCCTTCGGACAGGAGTGGTAGTGAAGAGAAGAAAATCGCCACTGGGGAACGTAGCCAGGACACTTAGCTTTCAGGAAAAAGGCAGTATGGTTGTAGGTCTCATCTCACACATGTGGATCTGGGAGCAAACAGAGCTCATGTAGGTCCAAAGCCTTCATTTTAAAGAGGAGACTGAGGTCCAGGAGCTTGAAATGATTTGCTCAAAGTCTCACATGTAATAAGTAGCAAATTGCCTTTCAGTCTAGTGTCCTTGAATTACACCATCTCCCTTTTTCCCCCCATTTCCTATCTTCTTGCCGCTGCCTTCAAATTCAAGATTAACTGTACTCAATTCTCCACTCTTTGTGCTTAAAAGAGGGGAACAGTGGAGTGAATATCTGTAACATAATAATAACAATAATGATACATAATGAAATTGTCATAATAATAACAGATAATCCAAAAATCTCTTCTATTTATTTCAGGACTCCATGATATGACTTGCTGCCCCCCTCACCACTATCCCCAGTAAGGAAAACCTTTTAAACTTCTGTCTTAGGCCAGTCAGAAATGTGTTGATCATACATGGAAGCCAGCTTATAATTTTTAAATTAGATAACAATTTGAAAGGGGATAACCTCTATGCAGGTAATGGAGAGTGATTAGTCTAATCTATTAAATGCCAAAAGAGAAAAGAAATGGGTCCATTTGGGGCCTCAGCTGTACTTCAGTTTCTAACTTTAGAGGGAGAATAAGAAATTGAGAGCATTTATTTCCCAAAGTCATTCTCCTAATAAGTATATCTCTTAAGTACCTCATATATACCCATTCTGTGCTAGGTGTTAGAAAGGATAGAGAGATAAAGAAGAAAGGGCCTCTTGCCCTCAGGAAGCTTCCAGTCTACATTGGGAGCTCCTCTCTTAGACTGTGAACTTCTCAAGGGCAGGGATTGTCTTTTGCCTTTCTTTGTATCCCTAGTGCTGGCACACAGTAGGCACGTTGTAAGTGCTTTTTGACTGACTGACTAGTATGAAATTGATGGCCAGTGAGGTGATCTTCTTTACTTAGGAAGCCTGTCCCCCTGTTCCAAAGGGGAGTTTCTGGCTTAGCTCTTTCCTTTTCTGCCAGGCTGTCTTGTGTCTGTGGGCTGACCAGAACCTGCACCCAGAGATAACAGTGTTGGTGTGGTGAAGTACAGACAGGACAGATTGCCCCACAAACTGCAGGGCACATTGCTATAGCTGTCCCAGCTTGGTGACTTTCTAACTGCTTCCCTTCCTTTGTCCCTGAGGACTATGCCATGAACTACTGGAAGAACAATGGAGCCCCTGCTGAGAAGCTGATGGTTGGGTTTGGTGCCTATGCCCAGACCTTCACCCTCACCAACCCCTCAGACCATGGCCTGGATGCTCCTACCTCTAGCCCTGGTACTGCTGGACCTTACACCCAGGAGGCTGGAAGCCTTGCCTACTTTGAGGTAAGGTTCACAGGGGGCTCAGTGGACCCATGGGGATCTCTACAACATCTACTCAGCTGGGAAAACACAGTGGGAGAGGCTCTTCTCTATGTCCTAGAGTGCCAAGTTGCTGCTTTGGGTGGATGTGGGCACATAGCCACAGAGAGCGATGGAACTGTTCAATTTAATTTAACAATTTTATGAAGTACCAGAAGTATTAGGCACCAAAAATGTGTATACAAGACACTGATAAGTACACAAAGATAAAAAGACTGAAAGAATCCCTACCCTCAAAGGCTTGCAGTCTCCTGAGGGATACAACAATCCCTGTGTTGATAGCAGTACCTTCTATTTTCACTTGCCCAAGCACTGTGATACCAGTGCTCCCATGTCAGGTCCTTACTATCCTTCCATGAACACAAGGCAAATTGGATTATTTACATAAAGAAACTCAGGTTAAGTTGTTTGCCAGCTGAGACTGAATTTAGTTCAGCTACTCTTTATTCCTACTGTTGCTCTGGGAAGCAAGAGAGAAATACATTCTCCCAAGAGAAGAAAATGGTAGCCATGTTTGATGGAAAAAATGGCCAGAGCAGAAGAATGTTCTGGAGTATAGAATGTGTTGGCCCAGAATGCTATAGCTGGGAGGGGACTAAGAGGTCTTCAGGTCTAATCCTTTAATTTCACAGATAAGGAAACTGAGGCCTAGAGAAAAGTGGCTTGCTCAAGGTTATCCAACTATAAAGCAGCAGAATCAAGTCTAGAACCCAGTTCTCCTGACTCTCAGCTGTTATTATTTCCTGTTCTAGGTCTGTGACTTCCTGAAAGGTGCCACTGAGGTGTGGAATGCCCCTCAAGAGGTTCCCTATGCCTACAAAGGAAACCAGTGGATTGGCTATGACAATCCCAAGAGTTTCACTATCAAAGTGGGTCCTGCTTCTTTCCCCTATACAGTTTCAGGTAGGGGCAGGGGGCCCACAAATCTAATGCCTACAGTACTTATTAGTGGCATTCTTCCATTCCTTCATCGGTGCTACATTGTTTTATCCTTCTCTCAACTGTTTCAAGTCACTTTTTTTTCCTCTTTCTCTTCTTTCCCTGTTTTTAATGATTCGCTGCTATTGGTTACCCCTGCTGGCATACTTAGGACAAAGGAACTGAGTTCTTAGTGTGCTGGGTCTAGTTCAGTGATTTATAGAGTGACTGGGTATCCCCTGCATCTTCTCTGGTCCCAAAGGCCCTCCCTGGTATATAGTTCTAAATCATGGGTTCTTAATCTTTTTGTGTCCTGGATTCCTTTGATTGGAGTTTGGTGAAGACTTTGGACTCTTTTGCAGAATCATGATTTTAAATGGAGAAAATTAAAAAAAAACTATAGGATGACAATAGAAGCCAATTCTATTAAAATAAGGATGTCATTTTTCCCATCCAAGTTTACACATGGATATCCTGAAATCTATGCCCAGAAGCCTGTGGGTCCATGGGACCCAGGTGAAGAACCACTTCTCTAGAGTAAATCCCTCCCTCCTACCCCCAGATAAAAATAAAGATGACAAATCACTCTAGGGTCCCAAGCCTAAGGGCCATTGTTTTTATCCTCCCAGTTGAGCTGAAGATTAGCAGTGTCCACTAACCTTGTTGTACATTTGCCAAGATCCCCAAGGAGACAAGCTCACTTCCATTTTCTAACCTTTGGGTTACAGATTTATCACCTTTACTCTCTTCTTTCATTCTATGGTGGACACCTTATCACTCTCATACACAAACCAACCAGGAATCCCAGGGCTTACAAGAGTCATTCAGAAAGCATTCTTTGCTGGGACATCAGGCCAGAGTGAAGAGAGAAATTGCTGCTTTGGATCCAGGACTATCTCCTTTTCCTCCTTGGCAAGACTTTCTTGTTTGAATATCCCCATGAATCCATTTAAAGGTGGACAGCTCCTCATAAATTCTTCTCCTCACTTGCACCATCTCCTTCCCTGTATTGAGCCTGAGGGAGGTATATTCTCTAAATTTAGATCTGGAAGGTACCTTAGAGGCCATTGAATCAAACCCCTCATTTTACAAACAAGAAAACTGAGGCTGAGAGTGGCTATGTTACTTGCTTAGGATCACATAACCAGTAAGTGTTTGGGGCAGGATTTGAACTCAGGACTTCCTGACTCTAAATTCAATGCTCTATTGATTATGGCATCTCATTGACTTAGACTCTGCCTTTATCTCTCAGCTCCACTCTTTTTTCTCAGCTCCCAGTTTATAGTTCTTAATATAGTAACCTTGAAGGTTCCAGGGCTTTGGCTGTCTGGAAACCCCTCTGGCCATGCCCTCAACATGCCTTTGATTCCCCCAATAGGCAGACTGGTTGCTGAAGAACAATTTTGGAGGAGCCATGGTCTGGGCCATTGCCTTGGATGACTTCACTGGCACTTTCTGTGGACAAGGCAAATATCCACTCATGAATGCCATCAAATCTGCCCTGGGTGTCTCCACTCCCAGTAAGTAGTGATCCCATCCCACCTCCACCATCCAGGGAGCCCCATAGCAGAAAGGTTGCTGAGGAAGAGCATCAATCAGAAACTCTTCCCATATTGATTCTTTTTTAAAGACTTTTAAACCTATTTTTCTCCTTGCCCTAGCATGCCCAAGTTGGAACTGGCAAGGGAAGACCAAAGAGGTTTAATAAGATCACAACTTGTTGTGTGAATGTCCCTTGTGAAAATGTTCTCCTCTGGCAGAGGGGTATAAATGGGTTGCAATAAAAATGGGCCAACCAGATATAGGATTTGAGGGGAGGGGAGAATTATTCCCCCTTACACTTTAATTCCTACAAACCCTGCCATTAGCCACTGGAATTAATGAGGAGACAAGAAAAGTCAGGGAGAGAAAAGCAGAGAGAGAATAAGACTAGAATAAAGTAGAGAAGTTTGGCGGGGGGAGGTTCGGGAATAGGATGGGCCCTGTAGATCAATTTGCAGCCTGCTCAGGAAGTGAGGGAAGAGATTTAAGCTGGTTTGAATTGGTTTCCAGGCTAAGTAAGATGCCAGTAATAATTGCCAGAAAGCTATGAGAGAAAACTGGTTCTCAGAGGAAAGTATCTAGAATACAGGCCATCACTTCTGTTGGACAGCTCCCTGAATGCAGGCTAAACTACAAGGTGCTGCCTTTGGGAGGGTTTGCTGATCCTTGGTCAGGAACCCACTGGTGAATTTAGGTGTATTGACTCCTTCACATGCTCTCTTTGGGAAGCTAGGATGCACCTTAGTGCACAGAGCACTGGTCCTGGAGTCAGGAAGACCTGAGTTCAAATCCAGTCTCAGACACTTACTAGCTGGGTGATCCTCAACTGTAAAATGGAGATAATCCCAATACCTGTCTGGCAGCAGTGTGATGAAGATTAAGTGAAATCATGTTTGTAAAGTGCTTATTAAGCTCTTAATAGATGCTTAATGAATGATTATTCCCTTAGATTGCCGAGTAACAACCTCTACCCTAGGCACTAGTGTTGCCCCCATCATCACAGCGGCCCCTGGTGGTGGCAGTTCAAGAGGCAGTGGGTTCTGTGCTGGCAAGTCCAATGGCCTCTATGCAAACCCCAAGAACAAGAATGCCTTCTACAACTATGCAAATGGGGAGACCTATGAAGAGGCTTGCCAGACTGGCCTTGTCTGTGATACCAGCTGCTCGTATTGCAACTGGTCATGAGCTTTCATGAAGGAATGATCATTAAAGATACTCTTTGCAACTAAATCCCACTTTGTCTGTCTTGCTGAATTAGGTGCCTGGGCATTAGTGATCTGCAATGCTCAAGTTATTGCAGTGGATACTGGGTGGATCACAGGGCTGTAACCAGCATGGACCAAATACGGCTCTGTCCTCAGACATTGACATTTGGAAAGGGAGCAGAGGGATGAACTTTCTAGAAGTGGGAGCCTTTGTTTCCATGGTAAACTCTATCCCCACCCCTCACCTTTCAGTCTTTCTCTCTGTGTTGCAACATCTTTCCTTCTAACCCTTACACAGGTGAGGGCCAGATTTCCCTCTGCCTCAGCTCAAATACATCAGTGTCATCTTTGCAAAGTCCTTTGTGCAGCTGCCCCACCACCCCTCGTGACAAACTATTTTTGTCCTATGTGACAAAATTCTGAGCTATGCCTTGGATGGGCTAAGACTTCTCCCCTTTCCCCCACCATAGAAATTTGTGACTTGTGCAGTACCTTTGCCGGAAGGGGTAGATGAGAACTTATCCTTTGCCTCTTTTCTAAGATGACTGCAATGGCCCAACACTCTGAAGGCTTTGCCCAGTGGCCTATGGATTTTCCTCACCTGGTTGAAGGAGATATTCTCACCTTCTTTTAGTGAAGTGATGCATGGAATGGGAGAAGGAGGAATTGCATGTTCCACACCTATGAGTGGTCCCTCCCAAGCTGGTATGGTGGTTGGAGAAAGGAAAGAGACTGGAGTGTTGTAATGAAATATCTATTACCTTAGGACCCTTTATTAGGTGAATGTGGGGAGGAGAAGGATCAATACTTCTAACAGTGATGGTCATTGGGCCACAGAATTGGGACTCAAGTTCAATTCTTTAATAGTATATTTAAAGGAATGAGGTGTGTGTGTGTGTGTGTGTTAGCATTACAAGTACACCCGTGTTTTGCACAAATAAAAATATCTGAGATGTACAAAAATGATCAATGAGGAGGTGATTTTTCACTTTACAAAAGTTTTTATCATGAGAGGTACTTTAACAGACACTCTTCTAGTGCTTTGAGAATGATTCAATTTTTTTAGAGTTGAATTCTAGGTCTGGTGCTTACCACCTGTGCATTTATTAATCACTTTCTAGGAACCAATCAGCCTCTTTTGTTCTCATTTTCCTCATCTCTAAAATGAGAGACTTGATATTTGAATTTCCTTCTAGTGTTAATGATAAGATTCTGATTTTTCAGAAACACATCTACTGAGTGAGACAAAGAACACATCTGAATTGAACTTGAACACATACAATCCACTTTCATTGTAGGGGGAGAGAGTCAGTATCACAGATGTAGAGCAGGAAGGAACCTCCGAATTTAGTCCAACCCCTTCATTTTACAAATGGAAAAAGTGAGGCAGGGGCAGCTAGGTGGGGTAGTGGATAGAGCCCTGACCCTGGAGTCAGGAGGACCTGAGTTCAAATCCAGCCTCAGACATATAATACTCACTAGCTGTGTGGCTCTGGGAAAGTCACTTAACCCCAATTGCCTCACCCAAACAAGTGAGGCATGAGGAGATTAAGTGACTTACCCCAGGTTATAAAGTAGGAGTCAGGATTTGAACTTAGGTCTCCTGATTCTAGAACTTCTTTTCTTACTATTTCCCCATGAAGTTTCAATCTTAAAAGTTGAATTCTGGGTGTGTTACTTACCATCTGTGCATTTCTTAATTGTTTGCTGTGCACCAAACACTGAGACAAAAGCAAAAATAATCCTTGCCCACCAAGAGCTTATAGTCTACTGGAGGGGAAACAGTTTTGCAAAGAGAAGTGAATACAAAGCACATACAAAAGATAAACCCATGCCTCAAGGCCCTCCTCAGATTCTGGGTTCACATGGACTGGTTCTAATCCTGGAACTGATCCAGAAGGGTCATTTTCCCTTTGACTCATTATCTTGGAGCTTGGAATTTACTCTGGAAAAATATGCAAACACATTTTATGTCTAAGTTTCCACAGATTTTTGTTTAAAAATCCTCAGTTCTTATAGAAACATCCAAGATAACAAATGCATATCAATAGAAGGCAGACTTTATTTCATCCTACAGAAAATATAGAAGGTGCAAAGAATATATAGGAGCCCATCATCTCATCATCATCAATCATCATCATCATCAATAGCAGCAGCAGAAGCAGCAAAACATAAAGCACTCACATTGGTTCCCCTAAGAAGGATATGATCTTGGGTTGTCCCTAGGGGCACCATTCTGACCTATATAGTATCTCCCACACTTGTAGTGCCATCTATAATTTACTGTCTCCCCAGAATAGAGGCATATTTGAAGGCTATTGGATAGGTGATTACTTTTCCATCCGGACTACAGTGTCCAAATAAGTCTCTATAGTAATGGTGGTGGTGATGGTGGTGGTGATGTCTTATAGCCCCTTTCTCCCATGTTAGAGCTTTAATTCTTAAGCAATAGGAACCATATAAATGTTCCTCCTTTCCTCCAATAAGTATACTGGAATGGAAATTCCCTTCTCTCTTTAATAATAGCTAACATTTATATAACACTTCAAGGTTTTCAAAGCACTTTATAAATATTACCTTATTTTATCCTCACAGCAACCCTGGGAGTAGGTGCTGTCAATATCCTCACTTTACTGATGGCAAAACTGATTCAGATAGAGATTAAATGATTTGCCCAGGTTCACACAGCTAGTAAGTATCTGAGACTGGATGTGAACTCGTATCTACTCCACGTCCAACTCTCTATCCACTGAGCCACCTCACTGCCTCTTTAGACAGAATTTCATCCCTAGTTATGCCTCTGGTGGGCTAGGGCTTCTCTTCATAGCAATTAGTCACCCATGCAGTGTTCTGGGCAATAGGGAGTAGATTGGAGCCTATGCTTTGCCCCTTTTCCGAAGTAATTGCAAGGGACTGAACCTCTGATGACTCTGTCTAGTGGTC